CTGTATTGATACCAGGAGTTGCCCTGACCCAGGTGCAAGGTGAAGGAGGGTCTGTTGAAGCTGGCCTGCTGTCCATGGAAATCCTCATCATGCCCCACATGGAAAAATGATTATCTGTAGTTTGCTATTGCAGCAGACAGGAAGAGATGAAGAGTGAAGGAGATGTGAGGAAAGGCTAGCAGAAATGAAACGCTATTAAAACTATGTTTTGGTATAAAAACCTTGCTGTTTGATAGTATAGGAAGAAAGAAGATTTTGTAATAAGCAGCACCAGTTTTCACTAATATCACATCTTGCAAGAGGGATGGCCTGGAACTGGCAGTATGGCTGGGTGACAGCACTGGTGTGATTTCATCTTGGATGATCAGTTCAGTCTTGGGAATGACAGGCTCTCCGGTTTATCAGTGCTGATTTCTTGGTTTAATTGTTCTCTATAAAGTAACAAAATGTACAGCTACACAGACACTGTTTTTGTGGAAGCAGTTTGTGCGCTTTGCTGTAGCACTTGTTAAGCTCTAGCCAAGGAGATAATCCTGTTTATGGTGTGGGTGCTTGGCAGCCTCAACAGGCACGTGTGTTTGTGCTTGCCTCGGAAGCAGCATATGGCTTTGGTGGCTCTGAACGTGTGAGATTTCAGAAATGCACATTGTCTCTGGCAGGGCTGAGGATATCGGTTGTTTCTGAGAGAAACATCAAAGCTACTCAATGCTGTCAGGAGATATTCATATTGTGTGGCCCTGTAGCGCCTTCTCATCTTCAGTATAACTTTACATTGAGTGTTTCCTGCTATCATTTCCTCAGAAACCTAAAATTGAATTTGGAATTCATTCTGTGAAGCTGCCATAATTCCTTCAGCATTCGTATTAAGACATAGTTGAATATCTATAAAAATCAGGTTTTGTCTAAATCCATACTGGCTGTTGTGTATATCACCTGTTTTCCGCCTAAATGTACTTAGTTGTGTAACGTTCACAACTTTCACAGAATCTTCATGGTTGGAAGGGATCTTTGAGATCATTGAGTCCGACCATACACACACACACACACAAAAAAAAAACCAACCAACAACAACAGAAAAACACCCAACCCAACAATCCCAGGCACTAGAGCATGCCCTGAAGTGCCACATCTACACGTTTCTTAAACACTTCCAGGGTTGGTGACTCCACCACCTCCCGGGGCAGGCTGTTCCAGTGCCTGACCACCCTCTCAGTAATTCTTCCTAATATCTAATCTAAACCTCCCCTGCCACAACTTCAGACCATTTCCTCTGCTCCTGTCATTATTCACTTGGGAGAACTGACCAACACCCACCTCTCTACAGCCTCCTCTTCTCCAAACTAAACATGCCCAGTTCCCTCAGCCTCTCCTCATATCACTTCACATAAGGGAAGTAAGAAGAGAAATAGTTTTTATTGCTGATCCTAAATCTTTCATGTTTTTGACGTTCTGCACGTTTTATAAATATCTTTATTACCGTGGTTGTCCAGGTAGCAGAGGTGCTGTGGAACAAAGTTGCTGTTCATACAGGTGCATCAGCTCTCACCAACTGGATGAGACCTTTAATCCTCTTTTTATTAAATTTGTTTTACTGATGGCCTCCAAATGGTTGCATCAGCTTGGGGTGCCATGTTGTAGTTCGTGGGTGGGAGAGAACAGCTGGTTCAGGAACACCCTAGGCCATTGTAGAAAATTCTCTGACAAAAAAAGCAAGAGATGTGAAAGTACTTATTTTCTTAAGAGTTCTGAGATTGTGATTTCTGCTGGCTAAAGTGTTTTTTGACCAAAGTGTTTAAGGTACAAATTAGGTAGCTCACGTGATTTTTCTAGAAGAGTCTGGTATCAGCTGGAGCAAAAATTTGGCTTAAAATCACTTAATGATTTAGGTTACTTGTGCAATATGCCTCAGTTCGAATTCAGCTAAGCGCTTTTCCATATAAATTAGCACTGTGAAGCGTTATTACATATGGTAGATGCCTGTGCCCATCATTGAGAGTATTTCCATAGTGAAGTGCTGAATAATCAACGGTTTTGTTGAAAACCTAAAGCTAAACTTTCCCTTAAAGAATAGATAAGAAAAAGCACAGATTGTTCCTACAAGTGTCTCGAAAACATCCAGGCTTCTGCTGTGGCATATATGTAAAAAATCTCTTGAATTACTAGAGCCTCTTTTCTGATAAATACCATTATGTTATTTTCAAGAGAAATGAATTTCTGTTTCTCGTGTAGAGTACTAGGTGGCTTTTCTTTGCAAAACACCTCTTTAAGTTAAATTAAAACGAAGTTTCGTAGCAGTACTACTTGATAACGGAAACACAGCAAACTTTTTAGCTTGGAATGCTGTTACACTCTGTGATTCTAAATAGATTATTAAAATTCCCACTGATTCCTAGGAGACAGGTGGATCCTTTGCACAGTGTCGTGCTTTCCTTTCCCTACTCCTGCAGCTTCAGGAGGGAAGCATTTCTGAGAGTGTGCATATGGATGGGCTGTGTTAACGTGTAGAGAGCATCCGTGCCTCCCTGCTGGTTTCTATCTGACCTGAGCTCAGCCAGGACTCATTGTGTTGTGAGGTTAAATAGGCTCAAACTCTTCTCTGATACCACGCATGTGTCCTCACCCCTTTCCATGCACACGCCTTGTAAGAGCAAGTGAGGGTCTCGGAAAAACACTTCTGTTTGCCATTCTTCTGGGGTTAAATTTACAAAACTTGAGGTGTGGGTACTGGCCTGAAAAAGTATCTGAAGTTCTGGTTGAAAAAAAAAACCCTAAACATAAATCCGTAGGGATACAGTTTGACTGTCCAGCTCAGACTCAGTCATGCAAGATACTGAGCACATCCTGGGAGGAGCAGAATGCCACCGCTGTCGTTAAGGCAGTCTGCTCTGATATTAGCCAGAGCCCTGCTGGGTTTCGTTTGGAAACTTCAGCTATGGTTGCTGGAAGGGGGCTGAGGGTGTAGTAATTATGCTGCTGTCAAAATAGTTTGAAATATCTTGACACAAATGCAAGTTGAATCTAAGCGAACATCTCCATCTCAATGAATTTGCTGAGGTTTAAGCAGAAAGCAGTTAGGTTTGTTGTTGGCAACGGGGAGTGGAGTTCCTTTTGCTGTTGCTGTTAGTCCTTGACTGCAAGCAAATAGCACCCAAAAGGCAAGTTAACTGACACATTTGGCATTTCTTCCATTGTATTCAAAACTGCTGTGGGTATGAATATATATAATCAACCTGGAAGAAGTTTCATGATGGCTATCCATGTCACTGAAGTTTAATGCTGCCAGGGATTATATCCAGGATATTTGCAATGTATTATCGCCAATCCTCGTTAGATTATTTTTTTTAACTTCATGGATTCCTGTAAAAAGCCTGAAGTCAGGAGCGTGACATCGCTCCACCCAATTAAGGTGCAATAATCATATGGTCAGCACATTCAGAAGGTGTCTTGTGGAACATCTTAAAGCCTCAGTGTGAAATTTTGTGTCTGAGGGAAGGATTTTAATTTGAGCCGTAGTAGCTTTTAACTGCCTTACATTTAAGCTATTTGAAAGTCTGGCAAGCGTCTTTTCTTGTGATGTCTTTGTTACTGGAGTTATTTATCAATGTAAAGGCAGACTACTTTAAACTTTAATTTTTCTAAAATTCAATCATAAACGCAAAAAAAGGTCAGCCTCACACAAGCCCTCAACTGAATGGTTTAGCAGCAAAACCGTTGCTTCTAGGCAGGCATTGCAAAAATGTGATTAACTATGAAAATTCCTATAAATGCACCAGATAGAGTTTGTTACTCACAAACCAATTTCCTGCCTTTGTTGGAATAAAATAAAATAGTTCCACTTTGTATTCTGGTGCTTTTTGTATTGCTTGAGGTTACAAAATCTTCTTTCTCAAGTGATATCTCTTTAGATTTTGTTCAACACCTCTTCCACATGTGTTGTTAATTAAATATGCTAGACTACAAATGACTGGCGGGGTGTTCCCTGGAGTATTGCACACATCTCTGGCCATCTGTGATCAGCACTGAAGTAGCTGAACTGGTGGTACGATCCATCATCCATCGTCCTCTTCCTATTGAAAGAAGTCCAAGAGGTTGGCTTGTTTAAAATAGGCCATAGGGATCATAATTGCTTTCTCCAAGGCCATTCAAAACAAAAGGAGAGAGAAAGACGAAAGAGTTGTTTAAATAAATAGAAATGATGGCACAAGAAGGAAATGCCTGGTCTGAGCACAAAAAACTGATTTCTAGCAGCCTGAATGTGAAAGTCTGGATCTGCCTTCAAGTAGAAGCCATAAAGGCAGAGCAAGTATTCAGTTTGGCATGAATAACGAGATGTGGATACTTGTGGAGACTGAGATTGAACTTAGTGACATGATGCCAAAGTATATCCTAGAATGCTTTCAGATTCTTTTGAGGTTTTTTTAAGTGTCCAAAGTGCGTTACAATGTCAATGCTACAATTAAAAATACCTATGTTAGACAGGATAGGAGGTGAGAATAAATTAAAAAAGAAATACAATCAAAGGAGCAATGATGGGTCAGGAATTTTCTGCTACAATTCTTTGCTTCTTAGAGGAACCTTTCCCAGCTGCTTGCTACCTTGCCTTGTTCCCTCATTGTATAGGTTATCTTTATTGTGAATTGAAATGTATTTGCCTAGTGATCCCTGTTAACCCAGTGGAGCTTGCTTCCTTGTACATGCAGTGTACTTTAGCTCCTGATTCTTAAAACTACATGGCAGTAATTTTCTTCCCCCGCTTTTAGGCAAAAGTATAAACTGTGCAGCTCCTAAGTGATGGAGTAGCCAAAATATTAGGTGTAATCTTTGTACCTGTAGCTGAATAGCATATCCATCACCAGTGCCCTTTGCTTGCTTTAATGCTTTAGCAAGCCTGTTTAACAAGGATGAATCTAAATGACAGATTGAGATTTCTCACTCAGCAAGCAAGATGCTGGTTTCTCTTGGCTGATGTTTGTCCTTGTATTGTTTCCTTGTCTCTGCAGCTTCCTATTGTTGAAAAAATCAGGATCATTGCTCAGAAGGTGTATGGAGCTCAGGATATAGAGTTGTCTCCTGCTGCGCAGTCACAAGTTGATCGTTACACCCGGCAGGTAAGGACACCACTGAATTTTCGTGATCAGGTGATGAGAGTCTTAGGAAACCTCGGGGTGTAAAAGGTTCTCAGGTTGACCGGAGTGTTTAGTCAAGCCTCGCTGAAAGGCGTGAGCTTAGCCATGGTGCTAACCTGCGGAGGTCAATAAGGATTGCTTTAGATTAGATTAGATAGAACAGAATGGTTTTAACCTTGAAGGCTATCTCCCGTAAGATATGTGTGGTGTTTGGAATCATTCTGAGGTTGTTGGTGAAACTCCGTGCTTTCTATGCAGTGGTAGTTTTGGCTTGCTGCCGTAAATGTGACAACTGCACATCTGCAGAAGTAGCAGCCAGAGAACGTGCCTGATTTGAGCACATGAGTGCTCATTTGTGCCTGCAAAAAAGAGTTTGCAGCCACAAAAAGGCCTATGCACAGCTATACATTTTAACAACGCAGCTCCCAATACTTGTAAAATCTTTTGTTTTCCTGCTGTTCGTATTATTTTCAAGGGGTTCTAAATGCTACAAGGTAAAATAGATCACCATTCCTAAAGCATGCGGGAGTGGGCTTTGTTACACTTTGAAAACAGTTTTGAAAACATGCAGAGGCAAATGTATTTTATGTACTGGAACAGCTTCAGCATGTAAATACGGCTGGAGCCTTTATGTCAGAAAATAGAAACTATGGTCAATGGTCATGGAAAAATTCCTGAGTATACTTCAGCAGCCCGGTGAGACAGGCAGAAGTGTAGCCATCTCTATAGCACAAATCTCCTGAGAATTAATTTGATTTTCTAGATGGAAAAGAAGCTTACTTGGTATACTTGAAGCAAAATAATCCATGTCTTTGTCTTTTCCTGCTGTGATTCTCTAATCCATTTTTCAGGCTAAACATTAGTATTATTAGGAAATATTTTCACAATGTCATTAAAGGATTGTCGTCTGTGCTGGGCTGCAGAGGCAGTTCCCTGGAGTGCTGCCTCTCCTCCTGGCTTTGTGAATTGCATCCCTGTTTGTCAAGGAATTGAACAGAAGAGTGGAAGGTGCCTGACTCAAGGTTAATCAATAACCTGGAAGACAAATAGTGTGAGGGGAGCTGCTAAGGGCCTTTCGCTGATTTTCTCCCACTTTTTGAGTAACTACTGGACTGGGTGCCATCACCTCACACACTTTTTGTCTTGTTTAAAAATAAAGCAAAGCACCATGAGCCATTTTTTTTTACCCCCAAGAAGAAGATATTAGTACCCTTAGAGAGTTTTGGACTATGAATCCTGCTCTCAGATAAGTATCTAACTAGGTCATTAGAGCCCAGAGGGAAGTGCCATACAGGAGTTTTATTGAGGTGATGTAGGTTTCGTATTCTGTGTGGTACCCTCTCTGAAAGTAGCAAACTCTAGTCATTGTATAGGCAACTTTTGCACCTAAGCCTAGATTGAGAGCCCATTCTAGAAGCTGGGTATCACTACAGCCAAGTCTCTGGAGATACAGGCCTGAGCTGAGAGAGAAGAGCGTTTAAAATACAGTATTCTGTCCGTTTCTGAAATATTAGCTGTTAAAAAAATCAAGGTTAACTATTGCTATATGGATTTTAGGATTTCTAGAAGATACTGATAACAGAATGAAATTATATTCTGTTTTTACTGTAATCTTAAAAACATTTTTCTTCTATTTTGTTTCCCTTTTCTGTTAGGGATTTGGCAATCTTCCCATTTGTATGGCAAAAACTCACCTATCCCTCTCCCATCAGCCTGAGAGGAAGGGCGTTCCCACTGGTTTCATTTTGCCAATTAGTGATGTGCGAGCCAGTATTGGAGCTGGATTCATCTACCCTTTGGTAGGAACGGTGAGTGCAGAGTATTCAACTTGATCACTCCCCTTCCTTTGACCCAGCTTGACAGGGAAGTGCATTTCCTGTTTGCCTCTAAAAATAATCTGTAAAACCAGGTGAGTTCTTGGGTTTTTATAATTATTTTATCCTCACAGTTCTTGTAGCTCTATGTTGATGGGAAAAGAGTTAGGAAAATACAATATCATGTAAGAACTTTGACTACAGTGTCTGAGAGAATGACTCTTGCCATTGGTTCTGTTTCTGATGTATTTCAGTTCGTCTAGGATACTTAGGCACCCTAATGCTGCAGAAAAATGAATTTATGTGTCTGTTGCCTTTCCTCATTCAAATAGCAGCCTGTAAATAGCTGTAGTTACATGATTATACTCTGAATGTTAAATTGTTCTGTCATTACAAAGCATTCTGTAATATATTTAGATGAAAGGAATTGTGTTAGGAGAAAGTGTATGATTAAAATCATTGCTTTTCAGCTGATGAGCCTGACCTATTCCCAGTCCTTGTGAACATCTCTGCTGGTTGTGTAAAATTAAGTTATGGTGGGAAGGGTTAGATTTTTAACTGCAGAAGTAATAGTGCATTCTTTCTCCTTTTTAGAGATTTAAGCAATGAGGTGCTAAAAGGAGGCAATTGTCATCCTTTCTTCCTAACTGTCCTTATAAGTACAGATTTAGATTAGGAAGCTCCTGGTATTTTCTTCCCCAACATGCCTTATTAAAGTAGCTGATAAGCCAGTTAGCTCATGCCTTTTGCCAACCACGCACATCTTATTCCAAGCAGTAGCTGAACTGTGTCTGACATCCCGTAGCATGAATTATGACTTACAGGTAGCTGATTCATGGAATGGTGCTAGAGGAGGGATGCGAAAGCCATTGCATTTCCGGAAAGAGTACTCTCCCAATGTTATCTCATCTTCCCAGAGCACGGCCCGATTTCCTTGTGTAACGGTACACTTAGGAAAGGTTGAAAGTTTCTAATCTATTGTTTTGAATTCCCTCTGAAACAATCAAGTGTTTGAAACAAGGAAGGAAGTACTTTCTGACCAGGAGAGTTCCTGGAGTTCAGGAAACTGTGTCACTTTAACTCACTGGACTTGGGGATATGCTTTCCTTCTACATGGCCACATGATGTGCATCCACCAGAAGTGGAACACAGCTGTGTATTTAAATCGTGTAAGACCAGATTCCAGTTACTGGTGACAGAATAAAATTTGTCACAAGTTCTAGCTGGAAGTTACGTGTCATAAAGTTGTAAGAAGGACTGAATGTGAAGAATGGGCAGCAACTGCTTCAAATCCATGAGGGACCTATTCTGTAGGATGTCAGAGTGAAATGTTCTTGGGTTGAGCTTTCTGAATGAGTCACACTCTGCACGCTTCAACACAAACTAGCTGCAGTTCAGCCTCATAAATCCATAGGAACTGTCCATAGGAGCAGTATAGACCAAACAAGTTCAAGGATTACCTCTGTTTTTCAGTTTCTGCCTAAAACAAGAAATATGATTCTTATGAAGGACATGTTATACATGAGATTTCTTACCGGGTGAGATTGTAAAATTACATCCAACTTAGTTACCCTGACTTTGGTGAGAGGTAGTATAGCCATAGAACTTTTCCCATATCAGAACTGGGTAGGCAGTATACTCTTACTGTTATGTATTCCAAGAGAGTTTGTAGGCCAAGGTACTATATAAACATAGATCCCCAAGAGCTAAAAATCTAAATCGTTGGCTGTTTGGAAAATACTGCTAATGCTCGGGAATGTGGGACAGAACACTCCTTGGAACTATCATAATTGCTACAAATCAAAATGAATATGAATATGAATGTATTCCTCACATCCTTACCATACAATTCTTTCTCTAGAATTAAATTTATGGGAAGAGGTCCACTTTACTGTCTTTCAGAATTAGAGACCTGTGATCATCAGGAAAAAAATTCTCATCATAAGTTGTACCACTATTTTTGAGATCACTTTTCTGCTTTGCCACCTTCAGATTTTTAGTGTGCATTGCAGTCAGCAATTGAGTCTTAGGGCTGGAAGTGCTTTTTAAGTTGTGCAAGAAGGAATATATCAGATATCAGGTTCCAAAACTGGGAGTCTTCCTTTGACAATTGTTTCACAAATAAAGCTATCTGAAAATGTCTACAAGAACAAAGCAAGTATAAAAGGGCACGTCCTGAAGGCTTAAAGTGGCTGGAGGTCAGATGCTGTGAGCAGAGGGATTACAGAGATCCTGGTGACAGCATATGGTGAAAGCATCCAGTCATGACAGTGGATTAGATTTCTTTATATAGGAAAAAACGAAGGAGCAGCATATATTTTTTCCCTTTCATTACTTGCTGGCTAATTGTATTAATGGAAGAGGATCCTTAATACTTAAGCTGCTTAGAGCCTTCTTAGAGCTAAGACCTTTCTGATGGCAGAATAAATGCTATTAGACAACACGTTCATTCAAGTTGTAGTGGTAATTCTGATGCTAATTAAATGTCAAACTCGATTCTCAAAGCATATTTTTTACTGAACGAGCTCTTCTCACTCTAACCTGTCAGAACTTATCAGTGGTAAAGCAGGTTGTTAGAATTTTGTTCCAATTTAACTGGGAAGAGCATCACAAATGAAAGAGATTAAGTACTGCTGAAAGGTAATAAACTATCTGTAGTAACTAACAGTTGTAGCTTAACCTTGTCGTTAGCACATGAAAATTAACGAAATTCATATTTACACCAGCCCTGGTAGGCAATCATTATTTTTCTAAAACTAAATATTTAACGTGTTGTCTTCATATTCTCTAAGCAATATTTGTTTTGTATTATGGTTGGCTCTGGTTCCCTTAAAGCGTGGAAGTCTTTCCAGGAAAAATGAGCTGGGCCTTATCGGAGGAAATCAGCAGTGAAACAAGAGGTGCATTTAATTAACACTGGCACAGCTTTTATCCAAGTTCTCTGCGACCATGACCCACAGGGCTACATCACTCACACAGGTGGATTGTTGACATCATTGCTTGGCTCAACAGAGTGATGGCAGGAAAGCTGCTGGAGTATATGTAGGAAACCAGTGAGGTCATTCACTAGCAATGCTTGGGTGGAGAATTATTAGATTTTTGTAGTATGTGTGTTTCTCTCCACCCCCACCCAGATAGCCATTACAATTTGGTCCTTTCTCACATTCAGCCACGTTTCCATTGTTCTTTCTCTTTCATGTGATGTGCAAAGAATGCAGGCTGGTCGTAGAATTAAAACCTATTGTCTTTTGCCTTTGTGAAACGAGGCTACCAAATGACTGGTGCAAGTAATATAGCTGTGTTTGAATCACAGGGAGATTTTTAAATATGTACTACCTTTTTCCAGCCATGCACTTTTGTTCTAATGGGTTAAAATTACGGGCAAGGTCCCTTGGAAAATATATGGAGCCTTTGGAGCCACGCCAGCTCCCAAATTCTCACAACGAACTGACATCCCTCAGATATCGACATATTTGAAGAAAGGTCGGTCTATTACAGCAATATTCTTTTCTTCCCCCTAGAGAAAGCAGTTCAAGTCTCTGGAACTACTTCTGAATCTATATTCTCTGGGAAGGAACTCTTGGGGCGACCCATTGTGGTTTGAAACAAGTTTATGGGAGCAATAAAGCCCTAATTCATTTGTAGGTGAGAGCCAGGACTGTCCTGCTAAAATATTACCCAAGTATTGTAAGGGAGAAAAGACCCTGAAAGTAAATATTTTAATGAATACTTTTAGAAGGAAGATATTGTTCCCTGCTGAATTTCTTCCTTCATAGTGATTAAGAGCATAACAAGTTTTGAGGTTGTCCTTTGAACATAAGCTGGAGTCCAGGCCCACCTGTGATTTTGTAGTTTCCCAGTGGTGTATGAGGTCCAGGTTGTCTCCGAAGTATCATTTTGTCACTTCTCTCAAGCTCTCTTATGGGATAGCTGAATAATTATTGGTGAATTGCCCAACTTGTCCTGACGATCTGTGTAACATAGGGTGATTATTCAAAAACAGGAATGATGACGAGATTTATATCTGTCTTGTAAAGCATTTAGCTTACAATGCAGTTTTATATGGTTTACAAAGGAGTAGTTCAATGCTAAGGACCTCTCTCAGTCCAAAATACGTCCCTGGTGATGTGGCATTTGGCACCTGCCTTTGGTGTTGTATAGTTGCTGTGTTGTAGCAATGCTCAGAGGTCCCCAAACAGATGGCTGTAGAAAATACTAGGTGCTCATAGACTCCACAGGCTGGTTTGGGGATAACTGCAGTAAGTGTGGAAAAAGTAACAGAAAAGGAAAGCTATGAAGTTAAACTCACGTGGGAGATGTAGGTTAGCAGTTGTGTAGTTCTGAATTGAAAAATGCTAACAGGAAAAGAAAAGCCCACGCACTCCTCTGGTAGACGATGTGCCTTTGCATTTATTGCCGTAGGTGTGATCCCTCTTGGGAAAGGCAGAGAAGGCTTTTTTGAATTACACAGGGCACCTCGTTCCTGCACAGTGACCAGGTGTGCACACGCGGAAACGTTGAATAACTTGGTGGAAGGCTGATGAATTACTCAGGTAGGGTTGTCGGGGCAGGGGGTGAGCACGTAAGTAAGATCAATGGCTGGAAGTGAAGGTGAGGACAGTCACCTTTAGTTCATTGCGTTTCAAAAGCTAGAGGTTGAGAAATGGTTAGTGTAATAACAGCAAATCCACCTGTGTTCCTTGGTGGATTGCATGATGTGGTTGTGGCGGTATTGGGTTAGCCAGAGAGGGTCTCTGTAGATGAGGCAAAAATAGGCACAAGTAAATGATTTAGCTGATGGGATGAGGAAAAAGTAGATTATCCTGAAAAGGGGTACGTCGTAGCCTTTAGAAATGTCCCAGGTGTGTAGACTATGAGGCAATTAAGATTTGAGGACGATTATGACCATTTGTGGTGAGAAGATGGTAACAGAAGATTGAGGGGAGTATTGGAAAGATGGGGTTGGCTGGAAAGGAAAAGAAGTTAAATCGAGA